GATGCCTCACTGCATCTTCCTTCCAAGAATGAGTTTATTCCAAGTGACTTTTCTATTCGTGCTGGTGACACATGTGCTGACGATTTTGCAAATTCAACTTCTCCTAGATGTATAGTTGATGAAGCATTGATAAAATTCTGGTACAAGCCTGATTGCACTTTCAAAGTTCCTCGTGCCAATACGTATTTTCGAATCAGCATGAAGGGTGGATATGCCGACGTGAAGAGTTGTGTATTATCTGAATTGTTCATTCACCTTCTGAAAGATGAGTTGAATGAAATCACATACCAGGTTAATTATCTATTTATTTACAAGAAACAACAGGCAATAAAGGAGTATGGAAAATTCACCTACAACATGATAGAAGTACAAAACTTAGAAACAAAAGACAACTTGGGCTTAGATACTGTTTTTCTATCAAGTATATACACATACACACACATACATATATGCATATTCATGTATATACATACATATATATTACAGAAAAATAAGCACATCTTAAAAAATGCTCTCATTTTTCGCTAGATTCTTCACCATATATAAATTATCCTTTCAAATGTTTCTGGAGATCTTCTTAAACTAATCATCAAACCAGATAACCATTAGCTGACTAAAAATGCTCCCATTAATATATTTGTGGAAACAAATGAGTATTCAAGAATACCTATATATGACATTCTAGAGCTCACTTTTTATTCTTTTCCTATTGATTGAAATTTGGTTTAATTTTCATTTTATTAAAGTATATTGCCCCAAGAAACTGGCCTGATATTACTTATAGAAAATAAATGACAAAATATCTTCATGAGATTTGAAGGTCCTTAAACCCTTGTGTAGTATCACCAATGTTGTGTTTGTCTTTCATTGTAATAATGTTAATAAATAAAGTACACAGTATAAAGCTTTAGTATTGAACACTAATTAAAACCCTTATTTAGTATTCCTTAAATAAAGTATGCATATACCACAAGTCATTCAATAGAGAACAGTACTTTACGGTTGGGGCTATTTACGCCCCCAACCAACTTCTTCAAATTGTAGTTTCCTTTATTGAATATTTGATTGCAATTTAGAAATTGCACTTATAAGTGATGCAGGTTATGCCAATAGTCCCATCCTATTTTAGATATTTTTTGTAAACAAGCTTTTGTATGTGGATGCAGGCTAGTGTTGCCAAGCTAGAAACTTATGTCAATTATGTTGGCGACATGCTTGAGCTGAAGGTCTATGGTTTCAACGAGAAGCTTCCTGTTCTGTTATCTAAATTCTTTTCAGTAGCTAAATCTTTCGTGCCAACTGATGATCGGTTCAAGGTATGTGATATGTTTCTTTTTATTTTTATTTTTTTCAGTGTTAACCATATTTTAATTTTTCTGTATTCTGTCTTTGCTTGTCATGAACCAATGATTATCTGAACAGGTCATAAAAGAAGATATGAAGAGAACTTTAAAGAACTCCAACATGAAGCCACTAAGCCATTCAACATATTTGAGATTGCAAGTTTTGTGTGAGAGCTTCTATGACGTTGATGAGAAGCTGCATTATCTAAATGATTTGTGTCTTGATGATCTGAAGGCATTTGTCCCTGGACTTCTCTCCCAGGTTGATATAAAATATATTTAGTATTAATATTAGTATTTTCTATTATACTTTTGTTCAGATTTTGTTGTCTTTTAAATTCCAATTATGATGGATGATGACGAGTGAGCAACATGCATCACTGCACCTGAATGTGTTGGGCCAACTACCAAGGGGTACATGATTGAGTAATTGTTATTGTGCTTATAACTTTATTATTTGTGCTACCAAAATTGCTCCCTATTTTGACCTTAATGTGCATGTAGAAGTCCCATGCCCTAGGTTGTAACACTAACAACTGCAAGAAAGCAACTACTCCTCCTTTATATTTGTCATATATTGTTGGTTTTTAGTTGATTTTTAAATGAGTTATATTGTGAATATGATAAGTCAACATAGGTTAATTGTAGGATTTTATGGTTTGTTGAGTTCTGTCTTTTGTAGTTGTGATGTTGGAGATTTATTCTTTTATATCTTAATCTGGTACAGTTATATGTGGAGGGCCTATGTCATGGAAATCTTTCGAAAGAAGAAGCAATTGGCATATCAAATATATTTAAGATGAATTTTCCTGTAAATCCACTCCCGACTGAGTTGAGGCATACTGAGCGGGTTATTTGCCTGCCATCTGGTGCCAATTTAGTTAGAGATGTCAGTGTGAAGAATAAGTCAGAAAAGAACTCTGTGGCTGAGGTAATTTTAGTTAGATTGGTTGTTTTTTTCAACTCTGTCCCTGATAAATTGTTTTTCTTCTTACTTCAGTTTTGGTTTTTATGCAGCTTTATTTTCAATTTGAGCAAGATTTTGGTTTGGGGTCAATCAAATTGAAAGCTTTGATTGATCTTTTTGAGGAAATCGTGGAGGAGCCATTTTTTAATCAGCTGAGGTGACAATCTATTGCTCAGTTTCGTGTATTTGACTTCTGATATTTATTAATGACCATAGGTCCTCTCTTCTCCTATTCTCTCGTGATTGACATTCCATGCCAAATAATACCTCTCAGAATGACAATTTGTTACCCATCTTCTCAGTGCAAAATGAACTTGTACTTGCATTTATGTGAGCAAGCTACTCTAATTGTTGATATCTCTTAAACTCAAATTGTTGTAAACTAGCTCAGAGCATAGGTTACTGACTATGCTTGTGTTGAGGTTGCTGTTTCTTTATCTTTCTTTTGCAATCCTGCCTATTTTGTCTCTTTGAGGACTAAAATTCATATATCTGGATACAGGACAAAAGAGCAGCTTGGTTATAATGTTGAGTGCAGCCCTAGAGTAACATACCGTGTCTTTGGGTTTTGTTTCTGCATTCAGTCATCTGAGTACAACCCAGTTTACTTGCAAGGTAGAATTGACAACTTCTTAAATGGCCTGGAAGAATTGTTGGTAAGAGTTCCTCATTCCTTCAACCTTCATGTTCTTAGGCTATCTGCTTCCTTGTGAGCTGCAATAAGGCTAACATGACTTGGGTTCTTAAGAAGTTATAATAGGCCAACCCTATTATTACTGAGAAAGAGGGAAAATGGATGCAAATAGTATAATGCTATGAATTTGTCATCAAAAACTTGTTCCAAACAGTTTTTAATAATGTCTAAGTAGTCTATTTTGGCAAGAGCTTTAAAATCCAAAATATAAACTATTAGCTGCTTCAATTTAACAGCACTGTTGGCCTGATATTAACAGGATAGCTCTTTTATTGCCATTTACATTGATGTACTTATTTTACCGCAGGGTTTTCTGTTTCTGACTTGATTTGTGGATTCTTGTCTAAATGATTTATCGAAGTGTTTATTTTCTGAATGAAGACTTATGTTTTGGAGAAATATATTGGGATTGCAGGATGGACTGGAGGGTGATTCCTTTGAGAATTACAAGAGCGGGTTAATGGCAAAGCTGCTAGAGAAAGATCCTTCACTCACATATGAAAGCAATAGATTATGGAACCAAATTGTTGATAAAAGGTACTTACATATTTTGTTGTCTAGATAGTGTTAGGCTTAGTTATTAAAGTTGTCACTTATTGAAGTCTGGTAACCAGCAGCCTCTTATTCCATGTGGCTCAGCTGTTTGATATCTTTTATGTACATATTTATGCTATGTCTTTTTACTACTGAATCCATCTTGGTACAGCAGGAGCAATTTCTGCCAAGTCATGATATAGTTTAAGGAGGAATAAAAGGGCTTATGGGAAATATCATTATTTGGTGCATTGTGTTGCTACAATGATGGTGTATGTGACTATAAACATTATGTTTTTCAGGTATATCTTCGATTTCTCAAAGAAGGAAGCAGAGGAATTGAAGAACATAACCAAGCATGATGTTGTTGAATGGTACAAGGCTTACTTTAAACCGTCATCTCCGAAGTGTCGGCGTCTACTCATTCGAGTATGGGGTTGCAACACAGACTTGAAAGTGGCTGAAGCACCACCAGAATCTGTGCAGGTCATTACAGATGCAGCAGCTTTTAAGAAGCAATCCAAGTTTTATCCAAGTTTTTGTTAACTTTAGAGTGTTCAACTGTTGGAAGTTAAAGCTTTACTAGAACAATAGAATCTTTATTTCTCATTTAGTGGTTGTAGACTCGAGGGGTGCCATTGATATACTTAAAATGAACTAAGTTTATGCAGAAGTTAAAAGGAGGAGGGGAATACAAAATGTGTTACTGGAATCATATTTGTTTATGTAAATTACATTTATTTGAGAAAATATTAAATTATCAACAAGTTATTATAGTCCATTGCCTATACATTTTTGTCCTTTGTATATTTGTTTACTTTCACTCTTTAAATGACTTTCTCTTAAAAGCCATTTTAAGGTTTAAACCAAAAGCTTTAGAAGTAGAAATTATTTGGTCACTTTTATTTCTTTTACCTTGAGAAACCAAGGGGAGTCGGAAGGGAGGAAGAGAGCAGAGAGCAGGGAAAGAGAGAATGGTGAGACAGACAATTTTTTTGTTTTTTCTGATAAATGGTATAATGACAAAAGGTAATAAAATATAGAAAATCTTACTCTGATGGGACACGATGTTGAGTAAAAGTTCCATGTTTGTTGAGTTAGTTCCTACATTTTAACAATAATGTGTATGACTTGTTCAAAAATTTTACTTATTGTGAAACTATGAACACATTATGAGTCATGGTTTTGAAAATCTTACTGTCTTTCTTTGAAACTATCTATGAATACAATATCTATATATCTCAGTTTGCAAAATGAATAGTCAAAAGTATGCTTACTTATAACCTTGCAAAACTTCTTCTATTACGTTTCAGACAAATCGAAAATAGTTTTGGTTTACAAAAGTAATTCGAACGTGTTAAAAATTGGTGATTCTTTTTGTTTTCAGAAATAATAAACTCAACCATCAAACGTGAAGATAATATGCATGCATTACTCAATTAAAAAAACATCCACTAAAGAAACCAAAATAAAAACATAGTACGAAGAAAGACATTAAGCTAAGAATTGCTAGTTCCAATGAGAAAAACCATAGAAACTCTCTTTAAAGGAGACATGGTTTTGGCCAAAGGCTTTTTAGACATTAACAACTGAAAAGGATTCCACGAATCAATATTGGTTCTGAATGGTGTCGGTCCTGTTCTCTAGCCCTTGAGCATGATGCATGTGTCCACGTTCTCCTCCATTTTCAGTCACTGGTGCCCCTTCTTGGATTTGGATCATAGTCATCTTCTTTTTTATTTCATTCAGGTTCTGATCAATCAGCCATGAGAGATCATTCAAATCTATCAAACTGGGATTGTCATAAACCCTCCCAACATTCAAGTACTGAAACATGAGATGAGTCATTTCTTTCTTCCTGTTGTCATTCCTTTGTCTTGTCAACTGCTGTTGGCCTTTGATGATTATTTGCTTCAACAAGCTCTCCTGATTCAACATCTTTCTGCATTGTTTCTGCTCAGACATTTCCATGAACTTGGAAAGCACCCTTTGTACTTCTGGCTCAGATGGCCAAACCTCTGGCTGAGGATCATTTGGAGAATAGATTATGGCACATGCCTCAATCCCACAAAGGGTGCTAATTTCATTCATTTTCTTGATCAAACCTGTCAATAAAACATAATGAAGAAATGAGAAGTGATCTGATGTTTGAAATTTTAATATAAGTGTGGATGTGTGTGTCTGTTTGTTTGAATTTCTCTGTGTGTATGTGTATGTGTATCATGTACATTTCCAGAAGAGAAATATATAAAACAATAAAATAAAATAAAACTCTATAAACTAATTTATAGAATATTTCTCATATAGATGATATAAAGTTAACAATAATAGTTTATGTCTGAAGAGAAATAGAAATCAAGCACTAACCATGTTTCCTTTTCTTTAAGGTTGTCTTTCTCTTTGAGTCATTGGTGATGTATGTCAGATCCAACTTCTTTCTGGCCATAACAGTGATCAGAAGAGAGTTTAGAAAATATTGTTAATGTGAAGTGCTTTTCTCAGTTTCACTCTTTTGCTGTTTATATAAGCATATTTTAAGATGCAAGTATATTCAAATTAGGGAAAGCTCACTAGGTGCATCAATAGAAAATCTCAATTACCAAATACATTTACGCAAAAAAAAAATTTTATAATTAAATTCCTGTACAATTAACAATTAGAGAAATTTCACAGTTTAAAAAAGTGATTACAATGAATGTAATGATTATTTTTAAAAAGGTATAAACTAACTTATGTTTTTAAAAATACACTTTTAAAAACAACTAATTTTTATGATGAGTTATTAAAAGTAGTTTTAATAATCAAATTTTAGATTTAGGTTTTTTTTTAATAGCCGATACAAATTAATAAAAAAATAAAAGTAATTGTTTAATTATTTTTTTCTTGTATAAAAAAACTTCTAAATGGATCTAAAAAAGCTACCATTTTTGGATGATAAACAAAAATTGGGATTTTCATGTTTATATATTGAGGATAAGTGAAAAGAGTGGTCGTGTGTTAAAATTGTGGAGTGAAATTCTTGATATTTATAAATTATATTTGATAATAATTAATTGAAGTAGCCTTATTTAAAGGGAAAAAATCTTTTAACGTGATTTCTTTTTCATTATATAACTAAAACGTAAACCCATTATGAAAAGGAAAAAATGGTGAACCGTGTAAGACTGATTAAAACGTGTATATTAAAATAAGATTTAATACTATTTTCATCTTATTATTACAAAAACTTTCTCTGGTTGAAAGATACTTCAATAAATCATTTACTTTTTAGGTGTGCATTAAAATATTCTAAAAAAATCCATTCATGTATACAAAATTGGATAAATTATTATTTAAATATGAAGTAGCAATACTATAAATCTTAAGTCATCATTAATTATTTATTATAAAATGAAAATGTATCAATTATCTATTTATCCAATGCACTGAATATGTGTTATTCACTTTTAATTACATCTATATGGGAATTTCTCATACTATTGTTGGGTAGATCATCCACAGTATCAAGATGTCACCAACAAAACCGGTTTTTAGTTAAACCATTTAGTTCTTTTATTATTTTATTAATTGTGCTATTTATTAATTACAAATTTAATTATCATTATATTTTTAAATGGTAAGAAATATTTTAATTTAAGAAAAACTAAATTAATTAATAAAACATACTTGATATGATAATGTTTATTTGTATTTAGTTTGGTTTTAGTTTTTGAAATACTTAACAATCTATATGAAAAAATTTGATATGGAATTCAGGAGATAAGTAGAATATAATTATACCGTATGTACGTATGGTTTATGTCTGTGGACAGGAATAAACAAGACTCAACGGTTTGTAGTACTAAGCAACTTTAAGTACAACTTCTAATTAAGTTTATTCGTAAGTCTTATTTATTAGATGGTTTGTAGTACTAAGTAATTTTAAGTACAACTTCTAATTAAGTTTATTCGTAAGTTTTATTTATTAGATGTTGGACCGTGATTACGAGGTTGCTAATCATAAGTTTATCTAGAAGCTTATAAATACAGGTTAAAGGTAAAGAGGTAGGTGATTACATTTATTGCGAATTTAAGATTTTACTGTGACGCATGTTCAGTTAGACCATTGACTTAAGCGTCGAAGTGCCTTTGATAAGTACTCGCTCATACAGTTTGGAATTCAGACATTAAGAATTCATAGGAGTTTGACCAAGCGTGCTTGAGACAACGTAAATAGACAAGGAGAAAAGTGTGAAGGAGTGTTTGACAGAGATTCTCGAAGTAGACTCAATGATGACTATAAGAAACATGAACTTACACGACCTAACCGAAATGATCAAAGCGCTACAACGACAAATGTTGAAAATGCAACAACGATACGAGGAAGAACTGGCTACCGTAAAGATTGAGAACATGGCCATGGTCGCTTGAGAGGAAGACATGATCGTTCACGTGGAGCAGACGACACAACATTATGGCCCGATAGGAACAGACCAAACTATTGGCACTAAAATTAAAGATGGCTCGATAAGGACTGCACCGGGAGAAAGCACCACAATTAGCAAAGAGCGTCATCCAGTGAAAATGGAGCATATACCGTCGAGATGCTGCCGTTTGTCCCAACAATCATGGAAGCACACATCTCGGGACAATTTGTCCCACCCAGTTTCAAGATATATGATGGGTTGATTGATCCGGAGGAGCATCTCAAGATGTTCGTCAACCCCATTTTACACGGCAAGCGATGTCATTTGATGCAAGGCCTTCTCCTTATTCTTGGAGGAAGAAGCTCTAGAGTGGTTTAACTGTTTGCCATCCAACTTAGTGGAGAATTTCTTTAGCATAAGGAACATGTTCAGTCAGTAGTTTGTAGGTTGTCGAACTTAGGACTTGACTACTTTGGCTCTAGTGAGCCTCAAGCAAGAGAAGGAAGAACCCCCTGAAAACCTTCATGGACCGCTATCAGAAAACTATTCGACGGATTAAGAACCTTAACCCTGAGTTTGCCCTCCAGCATGTGGTGACCGCCGTTAAACCTAGGCCCTTCGCAGACAGTCTATGCCGAGTTCTTCTTCACCAGCTCCCCTTTCTCTCTGAGCAGCTCAGTGTTTTGGTCGGAGACTTCATCCAGAACGGTCTTTAGCCTCCGACACTCCTCAATAACTTTTTCGCTCTTCACTTGCAGCGACTTGGCCTTATCGACAATCTCCTTCGCCGCATAGTAAGCCTCTTCTAGAATTAACTTGGCATCATATTGATTTTCCTCACACTCTTTGTGCGTCACGGTTACCTCATTCTGTTCATCACGAAGACCGACGAGGGTCTTCTCAGCCTCTGCCAGTTTTGCCTGGACGTCCTCGATCACCTCCTATCTGCAAAATTGGCCAAGTACCAATTCAACATCGAGGCTCGTACCATCAACTCCAAAGTGGCGTTCACCATCTCCTTCTCATTCATTTGGTCCAAGAGATTTTGCTCATCTACATTCATATGAAAATTGATCATCCCATGAAGAGGCTGAGGTGTGCTCCATTCGCGACGACTCCTCTTGTGAGAAGACGACTTCTCCCCTCCCGATGTGATCATTTCTTTTCCTTGTCCATCGAGGGAGGGGGAGGAGCCATAGATACAAGGGAGGGTTGATTGAGCTCCACTACAGATAGAGTTGGATGAAGAGTCCCATCATGAGGGACGATTTGGAGAGGAACGAGATAGTTGGTCTTCTCAGAGATCTGGGCGGCTTGATTGGATGTGGCCGAACGAGGATCCAAAGTCTTTGGAGCCTCAATGCTCCTCTTCAACTTAGCTACAACAGCCATTTCTTTAAACACACTCCTCTTCTTTGTAGGTGGAAAGGCAACCATGATGCTTGAAAGAAAATAAAAAACTTCGCCAAATTAAGACCAAACGCCTAACAAGAATGAAAAAAAGGAAAGACATCATACTAAACGCCTCAACATTAAACTCCTCTGTACCGATGCACTCAATGAGTTAGCGTGCGGGAAGGCGAAGGGTTAAGCTGTCGATGACCCCGATCGCTTCAATCTCGGTCGGCGTCATATCGGCTCACAACCAAGAGGTCACCTTTCAAGGACTCTTTGTCCAATAAAGGAGGGATTTTGGACGCCTGACATTATAAAAAAAACTCTGACCGGCCATAATCTTTTATTATAATCTTAAAATACTTTGTCTTAAACCCTTTGAAAGAGTTTGAGAATGACTTAAACAACCATTTCTTCTCCATGGAAATTAGAGACACCCAACCTTGCTTGGCGATCGGGCGAACTTAGAAGTAATTGAGGAAGATGGTAGGAGTGAGAGTTAGTTCCAGGGTAGTGCATACCACCGTAAATGCTTGCATGCACGTTCAACCGTTTGGATTTAGCTAGGTGAGAGCCATGTTTAGCTCTCTCAGCACCGCCGCTTGAAAGTTGGTAAAGGGAACTCGAACGAACATCTAGACGAAGAGATAGGTGTATACAAAGAAAAAGTTCCCAACACTATCTCCCTTTCCATGATATACCAACTCATTTCCTTTACAGACTACCAACTTTATTGTAGTAGCTTCTTCCACGTTACGGAAAATGCATACTCGTTCGGCCCACTCCACTAGGTATTTCTTCAGACAAAAGCAAGTGACATATTCACCCACTTCACGAGACGACCAGTCGTAACCTAGGATAACCGGCAGAGTCTGTTGGAACTCGTTCCCCTTATCCTATCCATCGACCTCCACTCCCCTATAGTGAAAACCGATCTCTATGCTAGGAAATGCCTGATCACTATATATAGTGGTTGAATCGTTGACTAAGCTGTTATGCCGCTCTATTGTCTTGAAGATTGAAGAAGACACATAGCTTGAAGACTAAGACCGTGAGTCATCGCTAGCAAACCCCCCGTCGTCCCTTCCCATCGACTCCTTAGACGAAGACAAATGAATGATAAACATTTTATTATCTAAAATTATGAATAAAATCGTACAGTTGGTAGAGCGAGTGGAAGAAAATGGTGAAAATGAAAGTCAAACCCCACCCCATTTATAGGAAAAATCTTGCGTAACCGCCAGCGTTGATCCATCGTTGGATTTAGCCACGATTAACGGACTAGATGACGTGCATCTGCCACTCCCTCAAGGCACACATTTTTTCGCCATAACTACGATTCAAAATTAAACCGAACAACGCATCAACCGGTCGAATGAGAGGCAAATACCCCCACGATCACAAGCCATCATGAAGGGCCTAAAATAACAAACCTCAGCGTCAGGTAAACCTGGCTCGAGCTTGGGGGGCCTGTGTACCGTATGTCCATAGGGTCTATGCTTGTGGACAGTCAGACATAGGAAACGATGAGACCGAACGATTTGTAGTCCTAAGCAACCTTAAGTACAACCCCTAATCAAGTTTACTGGTAATCCTATTGAGCCGTGATTATGACTTTACTAATCATAAGCTCATCTTAAAACCTATAAATAAATGTCAAA